GTTTGTGCCGTTGTTTGAAAGTTCAGTGTGGTTTGGTAAATTTAAGCTCCATTGGAAAGGTTTTGGGATTGTCGGTATATGAGCAAAAAACGCGATCTTTGGTGATTGCGTGACCGAGGTTCCACTTTACGTTTAGAAGTTTGATTACTGTAAAATTCACGCTAAAAATTACGATAGAAACGTTCTTTAAATAGCTTTATAATCTTATTTTTCCCAAATAAGATTTGGGTCGATGAAAAAGTCGAAAGAAAAACCATAGCTTATCGCGATGTTTAGAAGTTAGAAATGTTTCCTGGTTAAATGTGACATTGATTCACTGCCACGTTTAATTTGTTTGGTCAATGATTCCTTCATTAACTCGAGTAGGATATTTACATAGTTTTTCCATCTATCAAAATGTTTGTGTACTAGATTTACGAATAGAAATGTTCTTTAAGTCAGTCCCGCATGAAGCAAAGCCAAATTAGAGCTGAATTTTGTGACGAAGGCACCCGGCCTTGGGCTGGTCCCACTGGCCCGTTTATTTCGATTTCATTTGACCAGTTTTTTCAAAATTTTAAAGGACAATGTATGTCAATATCGTCAATATAAAGATTCCTAAGATGTCGAGTTCAAATAGCAATAAAATTCCTTGTATTATTTATTTAAATTAAGAATCTTGACACCTGCAATCTGCTTACTTGTTTTGTTACCCGGAAACATCTCCCCATATATCTTTCTTGGCTATATTTGGTATTACTTTGCGAATTCACTTACTCTTCTCTGTACCAACTTCAATTTTGCCAACGAGTAACGCCGTATGAAAATCTGTATGAAAATCTCTTACATGCTTGTTTTTAAACATCATGGTTTTAGTATGTACGGCACAACCAAAATCAACAACATTTGCAATCAGTCGCTCTAAAAATCATTGACCTTGGGTCAAGTAATCATTAGGCGGTGTAATTTATAAATATATAAACTAACTGTTGAAACCGCTTTTTTATCTACCCAAATCTTATTTGGGAAAAATAAGATTATAAAGCTATTTAAAGAACGTTTCTATCGTAATTTTTAGCGTGAATTTTACAGTAATCAAACTTCTAAACGTAAAATGGAACCTCGGTCACGCAATCACCAAAGATCGCGTTTTTTGCTCATCAGTACCGACAATCCCAAAACCTTTCCAATGGAAATTTAAAGTTTAAACTTAAATTTACCAAACCACACTGAACTTTCAAACAACGGCACAAACGTATTAATTTCTTAGTTTTCAGGGTAAATTTCATGGCAATCTTTACAAAAATCCTTAGTCCTGCGTTGATTCGAGAAGCGTGATTTTCGCATGTATTTCAACCAAATGCAACAGGTTTCTATGCAGTCAGAATTAATTTCCCCAAATCAATCTTTAAAGTTTTGAAAAGATCTATTCTTCCTCAACTTGCAGCATAAATATTATTTCAATCAGATAACTTGCCCATAGTTAAATCTTTTTTTCTTTTGAGGCAACTAATTAGCATATGTAAACACAGGCCTCCTATTTTCCCTCTCCAAAAATTCGTCCCTTTCCCAATAAGCTTGAAATCCAGTCCAATGAACGAAAAAGGGTGATAYATTAAGAAGAAAGTTCAAAAATTGTCATAGATGGTTTATTTTTTACGCGCGCTCTGTTCAAAGTTTGTCCATTTTCACTCCTCTTGTGCGTCTCTTGCTTGGGTTTCGGTCGAACCTCTTCTGTGGCCGTTTTCTCGAAAATAAAATAATATTTTCGAAAACCAACTACCCAGGGATTCATATCTAATAATGGCCTATCTAACTTTAAAAGAAGAGCGAATTTGATTTTTTGACCCTTGCCACGAAATCTTAAATTTGTTCGATTCTTGTGGACATTGCCTCTTAAGGCTGTTCTGTATATCGCTAACGTTTGAAGAAAAACAGTACAGCACAGTCGTATCATCAGCACAAATTGACATCTTGCAGTGTTCAGGTACACTCATACATACTTTATCACTTCATCCCTTTACAGGGCTTTTCCGAAGCATTAACAAATAAAAATGACAATATGATATATATAACAGCTAAATATTAATGCAGATATGAGAATAAATCTAAGATAAAAATACTATATATACGCCTGCCTTCAAAAGAGGCCCGAGACAAGAAACACACATACATAAACACACGTGCCACTGCAGCACCTTTGGTAACAAAGTACTGACAATAGGTAAAAACAATAGCATATGTGCTCATGCACGCAAATCTCAAATCAACCCTCTTTAAAAACAGGTTTATATACAAATTATATTATTATATATAATAGGAAAGATAAAAGATATAGTATCTAGATACGCAAATGCATTTCAAAGACCTAAACTATAATTCGGAAAAAAAATCTAATTATTGTGAGTATAATTATCATAAGTACAAATTTAATTATTAAGAAATTCCTTTAAAAGCTTTTTTCGCATTGCATGATTAAAAGGCTGCACATTTTTACAAAGTTTAAGCCTATCTTTTAAATCGTTCCAATGCTTAACTCCTTGATAATGAAAGAAACGTTGACCTGCTGAATATTTAACAACTGAGAACTCCTAGTTTGACGGCCTGAAAGGCTAGATCTTTTGACAAAACTATCTCCTAAGTAACCTGGTGCCATATCGTTCATGCACTTAAAAACTAGAGTAGCTTTCATAAGATATAGTTGCTTTCTAATTGGCAACCCTCTAAGTTCTTTTAGTATAAGTGAGATGTGATCATATTTTTTGGCCCCTGAAACAATCCTACAAGCGAAATTTGGCACAGCCTGAATCTTATTTCAATTGCCTATCAAAACAATGTTTCACTCTATTAATTTGTCCCAAGCGTGCCATAAAAGATGACCCTGTTTTTTGTGTTATATGTTCACTGAATGTCAAATTGAAATAGATAACGAAGAACAGAGGGCCCAAAATACTTCCTTGCGGTACCCCATGTCTTACAGGCAGAGCATCAGACAGTTCACTTCCGCATGATGTTCTTTGCGTTCTGTTGCTAAGATAAGACTGGAACCAACAAAGCGCATCCTGTGGGACACCAATAAATTTTAATTTGGACAATAAGATCTTGTGGTCAACGGTGTCGAACGCTTTGAACAGGTCTAAAAATACATATCCACAAACATTACCCTGCACCATTTTTACTAGTACTTCGTCAGCAAAACTTGTAAGGGCGGTAACTGTAGAGTTATTTGACCGAAAACCAAACTGCTTGTCTGTAAAGAGGCTGTTGTCAATTAAATAACCATAGAGTTGCATGTGAATTGCTCTTTCGATGATTTTGCTTAAAGTTGGCAGGATTGATATAGGCCTGTAGGCATCAGTACGTTTTCCTGTCTTAAAACGTGAAGTGGCCTTTGCTGATTTCCAACAAATTAGATTTAGGAAATGTTTGAGTTCTGGTTGAGCAAGAAGCTGTTCCATATATGACAAAAGATTCACGCACTTCGCTCAGCTGAAAGTTCACAATATTCCCATTGTTGACTGCAAAAATATTAATAGAGCATAGAGACAGGCAAGAGGCAATTTTTTCAGCGAGCACTCTACCAACTGAAGAAAAATAAACGTTTAGGGCAGTTGCTATGGACTTACAATCTGTATACTTCATTCCATCAGCGATGATACATTGTGGACCGATCTCTTTGTTTTTGCCACGATGTAAATCTTCATTAACAGCATTCCAGATTACACGGCAATCACCTTTTTTCTGTTCTATTAAATTACAATAATAGTTGGATTTGGAAGACTTGATCAATTTATTCACAAGATTCTTGAACTTGGTGGTGGTGGTGGTGGTGGTGGTGGTTATAATAATAATGTTTGAGAGATGATGATGGTGAGGAACTATATTGTTTTCAAATATTTTTTTATTTTACTAGACATCTGTGGTGAAGGATGGACGTACTTCAATGGTTTCTGTTACTTTACCAACTCGTCATGTGCCACGTGGGAAGCAGCACTGTCAAGCTGTCTCAGTAGTAACGCTAGCCTAGCAAGCATCACAAGCCAGGAAGAAAACATTTACGTTCAACACAAACACGGTGGAGAAACTGGATGGATTGGACTGCAGGATCGTCGGAGCAATGGAAACTTTACATGGATCGATGGAACTGAAGTGAATTTTACTTACTGGGCACAAATCCGTACAAACAAATTCAGCAGCGATCAAAATTGTGTTCATACTCTAGGGCCGAGTCTTGGTTATTTGTGGAAAGACGTCACTTGTACTGCCTGTCACACTTTTACCTGTAAACGAGGTAATTCAGTGATTTATATATCTTAGTTAAAAACCTTTGGCTTAGAAAAGTTAATGCAAGTTAAAAGCGCTCTGGTTTTGTCGTTACTTCAGAACATGTTGCTTCTTGTTTAGAGGTGTTGACACGAAATGGCTAAATTTTACCACTTTCGTACTTTACCACCTCGGCCAACATGAAGTAAGAAAATTATTAGTAGCGGAGCTCGCGCGCGGGCCCAAGGCCCGCGCGAGCGGAGCACCATACTTAAGAAAAAATGGTAAACTATCGAGTTGATTTTTCATGGCTTGGCTGACGTCACTTCCGTCCGTCCGTGTACACAACACAAGAATCCCGCTTGATGTCA